AGGAGATGTGGGTAATAGAAGACTCCAGAGATCCACGGTCTTGTAGCCTCACTGAGGGTTTAGGATGTGGGTTTTGGAGCCAGACACTTTGATTTCAAATCCCTATTCACAACTATTAGATGTGTGAGCATACTGTTAACATTGCTACCTGTTTTCCCGTAAACCTCAAGGAGTCGCTGTGAGGATTAGAACAGGTAGTTTGGCTAAGGTGCTTGGGACAGTGCCTGGCACACGCTCGTGTGTGTTTATACTGAACCCACATCTTTGCAGTCTCCGGTGTTGTGTAGAGCCTCCCACAGGGCAGGTGATTTGGTTACATGAAGGCTCTTAGCAGGAATCCCCTAAGGGAAGCAAGGGAAGCTGTGGCAACTGGAAATAGAGCCAGTTTATAATCTTCCTTCCACTCCCATTCCCAAACGTTTATTGCTGGCCCAATAGGTTCCATCCATTTCTACCCCTGCGGTTCCAATCTCCCTTTCCCCCAGGCCCCTCCTCCCTGGAATCCCTGTCCCAACAGCCCCCTTGCCCACTCCCCACTAGATCCCTCCCCTCCCTGGCACCCTGGGCACTGCTATGCTCTGTCCAGGTTTTGCATTCCTGCCACTTGCTCCACTTCAAGGGTGTTCAACACCGGCCACAATTGCTGGGAAAATTACAGCCTCGGCTTGGTCAGCTTCTGCTGTTAGCCTCCCCATCTCCCCCGACTTAGCTGCTCCCATGTGGTGTGATTTCTCTCACCAAGTGTTGTTTTCCTTTTCTCTGCCTGTGTTTGCACGGAATGCCATGAATTTGATATAGTGATTGCCTAACACATATACCACATAATAGTATTTTATTTCTTTCTGAAGCACTGTTTGCATGACAAATGAGTTGGTAACATTTGTGCAACTCCTGGCAGCTGTGTGGTTCAATATATAAAGAATGAGCCTTTCAGCATCAGTACTGGCCCCACGTATTCTAAGAGGGCTTGAAACTAATGCTTAAACAAAGTTATCGTTACACCATTTCACAGAGTTATGGTCTATTTTATCACAATGCATCTCAGGGCGATTTAAAAATACGGACTGAGCTGGAGCCACCCCAGTGGTGGCACGCAGTGTGGGCTTTGTCGGCTTCCTTGTGTTTGGGGACACTGCTGTCGCTCCACACATCCAGGGTCAGGTGGCCCACAGTCCCTCCCCCAGGAAGCTGTTGTCTTCCCTCCGGCACAGAACCACTGTGCTTGCAGTTGTGAGCCTTGGCCACCCATGGCCAGCTCTCCTACCTCCACGGTGGCTTCTGGCTGTTGATGGTCTTGTTTGGCAGGATCTTACAGGCAAGCGTGTGGGCGTGCACCAAGGGGCACCCAGTGGCCACTTAACAGTGAATTTGCTGATCAATGCTTCCCTTCCCTGCTGTCTCTGAGAAGGAACCTCGCAAGTTAGCCAGGCGTTCCTCCCAGTTCATCCTGAACTCGCCGCTGCAGTCACGTTCCTGCTCAGATTTATAGCCTCTTTGGTTTAGTGAAGTTGGCGTGTTGCTTTTTGCTTTCCTCCGCACAACCATCCACACGCTCCCCTCCGCTCTTCTTTGCCACCGCTGCCCCTTCAGGAGCTGCCCACGAAGCCCGCTGGGGCTTCTAGGAGCCAGCCTTTCTGTGCCTTCAGCCTGGCTCTCCTGCTGGGCCTGTCCACCATGGGAAGGCATATTGTAAAGAAAAGGGCAGTATTGCAAAGTCAGAGGCTGCTCTGCATGCCCTCCTTTCTCGACATTTTGCTGTGGGGTGTTTTTTTTTTAAGGTGAGCAGCAGCTCAGGCTGTGGTCGGTCTTCCTGATGTATTAAAGGTGGAGGAGGAAAAAGAAGCTCCAATGTCTAAATCTGCTTAGTAACCACATCCACACATTTAGCAGAGGTGAAGGGCTGCTCGGAGCACGCTCTGGATTCCCGGAGGGCTGCCACGCTCCCCTCCGTCCCGCTGACCTCTCTCTGTCTTGGCAGAGCCTTATAATAATTACAGCTATAAATCTTTTAGTGGGTTCCATTCTCCTCCTCCTGCAAAAAGCCCTGCACGCATTTATCAGGTCCTCAAAGATACTCAGGGACCAGGGACTCGTCCTTGATCCGCCTCATCAAGGGCCTCATATATCACCTCAGCTACCCAGGGCTTCCTTCAAACTACTTCATAGGTGGCATTATAGTGGGGGCAGGGCACTGGGAGACTGTGTTTGAAAAGGGGGGGCCATCTGGGTCTCAGATTTGGACTGGAATGACCCCAGGAGCACCCAGCTTCTTGTTGCTCCATCTCAGTGCCTTATGGAAGAGGAGGGTACTCTTTTTGTCTCTCTCTAGGTCTGGGGGTGCGTCAGCTAAGGGAGGAAATGGAGTCACAGAGCATTGCCAGAATGGTATTTCATACGCTGTTGAAAATTAAACAAATCTCTCACTCTTCTGACTGCTCTCACACTTTGATATCCATGAGTAAGAGTTCCTTTAAAGGCATGGAATACATTACCCAATGTCAATAACAAATTGTGTATGAAGAAAAATGTAATGCTTTGAGAATATTTTCTTTGGGGCTTTGTCCATGATTAGATTAAATTACAGCTTACAGATAGCAGGCAATTACTCTTTGCTTTTTTTACTTTTTTTTTTTCTTTGGATGGAGTTTCATTCTTTGTTGCCCAGGCTGGAGTACAGTGGAGCAATCTCAGCTCACTGCAACCTCCGCCTCCCCCGTTCAAGCGATTCTCCTGTCTCAGCCTCCTGGGTAGCTGGGATTACAGGCATGAGCCCCTAGACCTGGCTAATTTTTGCATTTTTAGTAGAGAAAGGGTTTCACCATGTTGGTCAGGCTGGTCTTGAACTCCTGACCTCAGGTGATCCGCCCACCTCAGCCTCCCAAAGTGCTGGGATTACAGGCTTGAGCCATAGCGCCCAGCCTACTCTTTGCTTTTAACTATTCAATTTCATGGCAAATCCACATAGCTCAGTAATGCTAAAGTCACACTGATGTGGTTACCCAGAAAATACCTCATCATCTCCATTTTGTGAAGCTAGGTTTAAGTTGTGCTGTCAAGACCTGTGGTACTGTTAAGTGTAAGGGGCATTCCAGATGAATACGGGCTAATCCCGACCTCCGGGGGCTTTTCTGCAGGAATGGCATCTTTGCCAGTAATCTCCTGGTTACTCTGGGCACCCTCCCTGTCTCTGATCCTGGCTGGTCTCCAGTCCTACTTATTCTCTTGCTTTAAGCAGGAGCATGTCTCTTTTCTTCTGTTTTCTGAAAACATGGTCATTTTCTTTATACTCAGCTCACAGAATCCTCCCCAATCTACTCCCAGTTTTAATTTCTTCCAAGGCTGTGGATATCCCATAAGCAATTGAGTCGGCTGTCCTGGAAACTGGAGGGCTTGTTGGTGAAAAAAGAATTATTTGAGCCGATTGCGAGAAATCGAACAGTGGCAGGAGGAGGAAAAGGAGAGAAGAAAGGAGCCGACACATCTAAACAAGCGGCCAGGGCACTGTGCATACAGATGTAGGTGGTAGCGGGGTCCCTGTTGCAGCTCATTACCAAGAAGCACATCAGAGGCCGCGGGGTGAGGGTCGGGGCTGTTGGGAGGCAGCGCTGAGCTTTGAACGGGGCTTTTCTGCAGAAAGGACAGTACCCTCTCCCTTCCCTGTGCTGTAGCTGTGGAACCAGTTCCACTCAGACCGCCTGGGCAGAGTCTCCTGGGGGCTCCATGTCCCTCCGAGGTGGGTGTCTGTTTCAACGAGAGGCTCTTCCACACCCAGAATCTCAGGGAAAATTTCCCAGCCGGTGTTGGGGCTACGCCCCAGAAATGGGCACCTCCTGCTGGTGATGGGGGAAGGCGGTCTTGCTACAGGGACAGATTCCAGCTGAGGGTGAGGTTTTCCCCAGGGAAAGGGACCGCCGTGAGCAATCTCGTTTCTCTGCGTCTTGGAGTATGTTACAGAACATGGGGTGAACTGGCATGGAGCTTGGAAAGGCAGGGAGGAGTCTTGGATCCAGAACTTCCCAGCAGCAGGCTTTATAGATTTCCGTGTCTCCCCTGCATGCCCTCCTGCCGCCGCAGCCCTCTCTCTCTCTCTCTCTCTCTCTATTACAGGGCGTCTTGGCAGCATTTCCTGGGAACGGGTGGCCGCTCCGGGGTTGATCAGGATATGTGCTGGAAGTGTGTGTGAATGTGCAGCATGACCGGGGTGGGGGCCCATGCAAAGTTTGGGTGTTTCTCAGGAGAATTCAGAGTACCTCAAACGAGGATCCCTTGTTTAGCATTGGAGTTCTTCTGGTGACTCTTTCTGTGGCTAAGCCCAGGTGGAAATGCAGAATGGACACCGTGTCTAATTGCTGATAACCTATGGATGGGGGGAGCTGCAGTTCTGATGTGGCCCTAGTTTATAAATAAATGAGCATTCATTAATGTAAAATTAAATTAGAATGAAATTTCCCATCCAGTTTTGTTGAGAAGGCAGAAATAAGTGGGTTGGCTGTGTAATTTTGCTGCGGATGCTGGAGCTGGTAGTCACAAGGTGATAATAACAGTGATTTGCTCTCTGCCCGTGCCTCCATCCCAGATCTCAAGGTGGATATTACCACCTTGGTTTTGCACAGGCTCATTGAGGTTAAAGGGCTGGCTGGAAGTTACTCAGCAAGGGGTTGAGTGCAGAGGCCCTAAAATTCTCTGACCCATTAGACCTTGAGCGTGTCAGTAAACTACAAATGGACCGAGACCTGGGAGACCTGAATTCCAGTCCTCACTCTGTCACTGACTCCATGTGTGGGCAAAAAATGATCAGTTTCCTCACCTGTCATGGAAGGGCCAGTGAGAGTCTTCCAGTTGTTTGGATGTGAGTTACTATTTGAACTTAGAACTCACAAAAGCACAGAATGCTAATGCAAAGCATCGTTTGTGGCCCACTTTCTCTGAGCTTCACTTTCCCCCCTTTTTCTCGAGACCTGAGTTTGCCCTTTGGAAATTAAAATATTAAATAAGAGTCATTTCTGTATATTTCATGCTTTATTTGCTGGAGGGGGATTTGCTTTGGAAAGGGTGTTTTCCTTCCAGGCCCAGCTGGCAGGCTGTGCAAATTCCCAGGGCCTCACTCAGGTGGGAGGGGCCTCCCAAATCTGTCCACCTTCTTCCCAGCGTGGCTGTCACTTGGTTGCTGGGGAAAAGCAGAGGTTTGCAGCTCAGTACCGTCAGCAGGTCTGCTTATGAAACCGCCCTCTCCAACCTGGCTGCAGGTTGGAGGGAGGAGGGGGCAGCAGGGCAGGCTGGGCAGGAAGGTGGGTGGGAGGTTTTGCAGGGAGCCTGGAAGCTGTCTGTAGCCTGGAGCAAGTCATTTAACCTCCCAGTTTCTCCATCTCTAACAGCACTTCCTCGAGTCTCTCCTCTCCTGGGGACTACGAGAAGTAATTAGTGGCTGTTTGTCAGAGGAGATCTAGCCTTGCTCAAGTAACTCGGGCAGACCTTGAACTGGGCAAGGCCAAATGGGGCTCAGGACTTTAATTTGCAGAACGAATGGGCGGAGGAAAACTGCACCAAGGTTTCCTTCGGAGCAATCACCCTGTGGTGGTATTTTGGGAGTGAGTGAAAATATCTGGAGCAGGGAGTGGGGTGGGTTAATGGGAACCCCGCCTGAGAACCCCCTCCCTGGAGAACTGGGACTCCACAGCCACCAGCAGGTATTGCAGCATAGCGCAGGGAGAAGACAGCTTCACATTCTCAAGTGCAAAGCAGCCAAGCAAATCCCGCCCTGAAACCCTGCCTCTGGAGTATTAATGCCAGGGCGGGCGGAGGCCGGCCTAGCCGCAGAGACGCCCGCCCTCCCTGTACCGTGCTGGGGCCGCTTCTCGCTCAGCAGCCCTTCCAGGGTGGCCCGGTACTTTTCCAGCTGCCTGGAGTTCATCCTTATTCCAATTTCCACAGGAGCAGTCAGCTGTGAAATAAGGCAGTGTTAACAACAAGGGAGAAGTGTGGAGAGGGCCCGTAACCCCTGGGTGTCCTACAGGTGGCAGGAGGGACCCATGGGAGCCACGCCAGCCTGTGGACCCTCCTAGGGATGGCTGGGAGTTCTGCCACCTTCCCCTAATTCTAACCAGAGGGTTGGATCCGGAAGGTCGCTGAGTCCTGCTGAGAGGATCATCACACCTTCCCTAATGGGGAAGTTGGGACAGGAGGCGTGGGGTCAGCAGGAATCCCAGCAGTCTTTTCTTAGGGGGAGGGAATTCACTCCCCCCTCAACGATAATAGCCAACATCATGGAGCCTCACCCATCTGCCATTCTAAGCGCTTTATGTATATTAACCTCTCAATAGCTCTGTGGGGCAGGGATGGTTAGTGTTCCCATTTTGCAGATGAGGAAACTGACGACAATGAGGTTGAGTCATGTGCTCAAGGCCACACAAGTGGTAAGGAGCAGAGGACGAAGACGTTACACCCAAGGGGCCTGGCTCCAGGGTCTGTGCCCAGGATCTCTAGCTCCCTTTCCTCGTGCTGTCTGGAGGCTCTCCACCAAAGGGGCAGCTGCAGCCTTGAGGCAGAGCCTAGGGTGCTGATGGATCTCTCCACAGCCCCCCAGAGCTTCCCGGGTCAATGGCTTTGCTGCACAAAGTAGCTGGCAGACTGGGAGACTCCTGGCCTCTCGGGAGAGTTGCCCTGGAGGAGCCCCAGCACCCCTTACCCTGCCTCCTGCCCCCCACCGGGCCCCCTGGGGTGGAGGAATGGGCTTCCTAGACCCTTGGGGGCTCAGGGCACCTGAAGGGCATCTGAAGGGCTCCAGTGGGTCCTGCCTATGCCATCCCTGGCTGTGGTTCTGCCTCTCCCTCTAGACCCTCTCACAGGGTCTCACTTGAACATGAGGAGCCTGGACTGGGCAATCCCAAAGGGTCCTCCCAGCTCTGCATGTCGTGGTTCTGGGAGATGGAAAGAGGTGAGAGGTGCCTCACCCAACCCTCCCAGGAAGTCTGCAATGGACATACCATATCTCTGGGCAACCTTAGCGTTAGTGCCTCAGACTCTGACTCAGGTGCAGGAGGCGATTCTGAGTGTGCTGCCCGTTTGCCAGCTGCTGGACCCCCTCCCAGCTCCCTCCGAGGGAGCCCAAGGAGCTGGGAGTGGATGTGGGGAAAGGAGCCCCACCTCACTGAGTGCCGAGTGTGGTGATGGCACCAGGTTGTTTTCTGGGCCCGATAGCATCTGGAAAGGTCACTGCCTGTATCTGGTAGAGGTGGAAGTCCAGCTGGGTTCTGCCCTGACTCCTGTGTGGCGGTGACAAGACCCCTGCTCTCTGGATCTCAGTCTTCTCCCCCTCAGGCTCCTTTATGTGGAAGCAACCCACCCTCAGGCCTGGGCCTCTCCTCCTCCCTCCACACCTGCCCCTCGAATGGCTCACCCACACTGAGCTTGAAATGCCCTGTAGCCATGGATGACTCCTGCATTGTGTGCCTCCAGCCCACACCTGGCTCCTGAGCTGCAAACTTGTATGTCCCCTTGCCCGGGCAGTGTCGCTGCTTGGATGCCCGAGAGCTTCTCAGAGTTTTCAGGCTCGGTCTGACTTCCTGACCTTCCTCCTGCCATCCTGCAGCCAACCACAGACTTCACTGTCTCCGTGACTGGCAAATCTGCCTTTCAGGTATTCTGGCCCAAACCCTTGAAGTCAGTTTTCACTTTTTCCTTACGTCCTATATCTATTCTTTCAGCAAATCCTGTGGGCTTCTACCTCTAAAATATTTCTAAAACCCAGCCGGCACAGTGGCTCACGCCTGTAATCTCAGTACTTTGGGAGGTGGAGGCAGGTGGATCACCTGAGGTCAGGAGTTCGAAACCAGACAAACCAACATGAAGAAACCCCATCTCTACTAAAAATACAAAATTAGCTGGGCGTGGTGGTGCATGCCTATAATCCCAGCTACTAGGGAGGCTGAGGCAGGAGAATTGCTTGAATCCAGGAGGTGGAGGTGTCGGTGAGCCGAGGTTGTGCCATTGCTCCAGCCTGGCAGCAACAGTAAAAGACTCTGTGTCAAAAAAAAAAAAAATTCCCAAATCCAACCTCTTTGCCCTGCCTTCACCTAGACCACGTGCGGCCAACTCTCCTTCTCTTTTTCTCTGTCTCTCTTATGCTGTAGCAGCCTCCTCAGCGGCCTCTCTAATTCTGCCTTTGTCCTGTCCCTTCAGCCTGTTCTCCGCAGCTGGAGAGACCCCTTTAAAATGTAAATCAGATCCTGTCCCTCTGTTCCAAAGCCCCCCAGGGCTCCCACTTCAGCAGAGTGAATGGACGGTCCAGTGGCCTGTGAAGTCCACAGTCGTCCCCCACCCCCGCACCAGTCTCTGGCCTCCTTACTCTTCCTTAATGCACCAGGCCCTTTCCTGTCTCAGGACCTTGTGCTGGCTGCTCCTTCCGCCTGGAAGGCTCTTCCCCCCAAATCCCTGTGGTCACTGCCTTGCTCTCTTCAGTCTTTGTGCTGCTGCCCTCTCCTAAGAAGCCTGCTGTTCCCCATGGACTCATAACCCGCTGCATTTCCTGGCGGCTCTGTTTCCCTCAGTGGCATGTGTCGCTGCCTGCCACACTCCCGAGTTTGCTTGCTGTCTTTACCTTGTTTGTGGTCTGTTTCAGTCGTCCTAGGATCTTGTTTCTGCTTCCCTATGGAGTGTGAGCTCCAAAGGGCGGGGATTTTGTCTGTTTACTACCCTGTCGCCAGTGCCTGGAACGGTGCCTCACACCTTGTAGGGGCTCATTTCTTGATCACCCAAATAAACGAGTCTGAAATAAAATAGCTCACAGGACAAACTCAACAGCCCCCACGATCGGCCCTGGGTGTTGAGGCCCAGGGCTGGCTCCTGGGTGTCTGTCTGGGAGGGGAGGAACTGGCGCCCTCATCACCTCTCTCCTGAGGACCGTAGCGTCTCCTGCTGGCCTCTGGCCTCCACTTGTGCTGCCCTGGCTCTAAGTGGGCTCTGGTGACTTCCCTGCGTTGAATCCCCAGTGGCGCTGCAGGCAGGCCTTGCTTGGGCGGGCTCGCTGCCCTCTGGCCCTCTCGCCCTCTCAGCTCACTCCTGCCACAAGGGCTTGGAGCCCACCAGCACTCCTCCGCCTTTGCACTTGCTGTTCCTTCTTCTGCGAGGCCCTTGCTCCAGCTCTTTGCACAAGTGGCTCCTTCCTTTCATTCAGGTTTCAAATCAAATGTCATCTCCTCCAGGAGGCCTTCCCTGACCCATCTTGGGGACAAAGCAGCCCCCCAAACCCTACTCAGTCACTCTCCCTCCTACTTCCTTATCTGGTGCCTAAAATGGTTGATTTATCTAATTTAGTTTTTGGAGTCTGTCTCTCCCTGTGAGGATGGATGTCTTGTTCACTGCTGCATCCTGGGACATTCTGTGGCTCACTGTGGCTCGTGGGCCCTGCCTCCTCGCCAGGCAGGGGAAGGCATGCCTGCTCTGAGCTTCTCTCCGTCATCCCCATTGTCTGCTCACCTTGATCATTTTGTTTTCTTCTTCCTCGATGGGCTCCGTGGGGTCTACAGGACCTTCCTCCCCAGACCTCTGCCATATACTCAGGGATTTCTTTTGCCCTTTATTCCGTTCCCTTTCCTAGGGGCAGAGCAGAAAATTGCACAAAACCACCCTCCCTCAATCCACCCTGATGACCCCTCGCCTGTCTCCTTCTGCCCAGGGTGCTAACCGCCCCAAGCTGCTACAGACGGAAAGAACCCCTTCCCCCAGGAGCGTCCTGCATGAGGAATCTCATATACTAACTAGGTGGCCCATGGATGGCCCTTGGGGTTGTCCACCCACAGGCCAACTTGGAGAGGAATCCACTCCTTTGTAGTTAAAACACTGCACCCAGATTGTTACTGTTAATTAACTTAAAAAGCTGGAAATAATGGCTGCCCTTCATGCATATTAAGTGGGAAAATGTGTCTTTCTTAGCAGAGAGCCTATAAAAAAGGTAGCGAGACAGCCTAGCCTGGGAGGGCGCCATGGGGTAGCCCAGGAACTCAGAGTCCCTGGGAGGTGATTTATAAGAGGCAAGGCAGGGTATAAATTATGGAGGAGGGAGTTTGCAGCTTCTTCATAAAATCCTGGTGCCTGACAATTATGAGGAGAAAAACCATGGAGCAGATTAATGCACAGTGTCCTTTGTTGCCATTTTGCTACTTTATGTTCCACCGAGTTTGACTGTTCCTGTCCAGCCACCAGTCTTGCCCATCGTACTGCTGGCCGGGTCCCCAAGTGCTGAGATCTGCATTCCTTGGCTTTCTCTAACGACACTCTCGGGACTCTGCTGTTGGCCTGCCCTGAGATGTGGTGATTCTAGAACACAGGGTCACCCTGGGGAGAGCATGCCCGCGTAGCGGAAGGTGTGTTGGGGCGTGCTGCTGTACCTACCAGTTTTCCATGTCTGCTTGAAGAGGGGGCTGGATTCAGCCTTGCCTCTGAAAAGAGCCCTGTCCACTGGGAATGTGGATCCCCCTACATTCCCCCCACATTCCCCTCGCACCTCCCCCACACCTCCCCCCACACCTCCCCCGCACTTCCCCCCACACCTCTCCCACACCTCCCCCGCACCTCCCCCCACACCTCCCCCGAACCTCCCCCCACACCTCCCCCACAGAGTGTGCAGTTGCAGACAGGCTGTGCCCCAGAGCCTCAAGACCCCTCTGGGCACCGACTCCTGTTTTCATCCCTTATTGGAGTCTCAGTCTCAGACAGGGTGGAGCATGAAAGTCCTCTCTTCATCTCCCTGGGTTAAAGGGAACCAAATGTCTGCATAGACACTCAGCATCCCCAGAGGTCTAAAGTAAAGGCAGCAGGGAGGCAGAGCCAGCAGTTCTGTTTTCCTTAGGCTCTGCTGCCTGAGTTCCATGAGACCTGCCTGGCTCTCTTCTGGGCCCTACAGAGGAGGAGGCTTTGGCCACTGCTACATGGACCGAAGCCGTGCTTCCCACCTCTGGGCGCCGGCTCCCATTGGTCCCTCACTCCTGATCTCTCAAAGCCCCCAGCTGAGTTCCACCTTTTCTCTGCAGGCTTCCAAGCACACTGCAGCCCTTGATGACTCTCCCTCCTCTGAATCTGAGCACTTAGCATCAGCACCGCTGACAGGCGATTCATCATGTCCTGCCTGTGACATCTCTCTTTTGTCTTCAACTGTTAGTTAATTTTTCATATGTTCATGTCTTGGCACCCCAGCCTGCTCCCTGGAGACGGGGAGGTGCTGAGATTCTTTTGCATGCTCGGGCCCATTGCCCAGGGTGGCCTCTTGTACTGCAGAGCAGCTCAGTAAATATTTATTGGCTTGTTAATTTAAAATTCCCTCCAAAGGACAGGCAGGGGTGGGAAAGATGTTGCTCATTTGAGCCACTGACATCTCTGAGTGATGCCAGTGCAGGCGCGAAGGTGGCCAGAGAGGCGGCTGGGACTGGGGGTTATCTTGGGTCCTGATCCTGCACACTTTCCTTGGTATCGCTGGCATAGATCATTAGGCATGGTTTACCAAAGGAGCACAGTGCTTCAGAGAGACTAGCACCACTTCAGGGCTGGGCAGGGCTGCAAGTGACCTCAGCCTTGCTAGCAAGGCGGGCAGCAGGGGGCTCTTACCTGCATCCTCTGGAGTTCACCATAGGTGAAGATGGGGACGAAGGCTTCCGTCTGCGTGGCCAGCATGGCAGCTGCGTGCACCACCAGCAGAGCAGCCACAGCCTTACGGGATACCATCTTGGAGCTGGACAATGACAAGGAACTCTTGTCACCAAATTTGGGGTGCAGTGGCAGACTGCTGCATCCGAGGCAGGGGCCCTCAGTTCTGGCCCATGCTCCACCTCTAGCCGTGTCATCTTGAGCCAGAGTTCAGCCTCTCTGGACGTGGGCCTGGTAGCAGAGCTTTAGCAGACGAGCTCTGAGCACCTTTCTGCCCCAGAGTGGGGGCAGTTGACCAAGCTCAGGGGAAAGGCCATCCAGCCCGCTGCCACACACCAGGGAGGAATCATTTCACTTGTCCACTCTTCTCTTTGTTACAGGTGAGGGCTTCTGGGGTCAGCTGGGCTCATAGGGCAGGAGGAACCTCATCTTCAGAGAAGGAACTCCTAGATTATCAGCAGAACTATGCCCCAAGACCCAGGGATACCTCCCTGCTCCAGTGCCTATTAGAATGACAAAAGAAGTAGACCCACGAGCCGGATAATTGCTGATCGGGAAGTGGGAATGTGTGGAATGGCTGGCAGGACATTGGGCTGTGGTGGGCTTTTGGAGCTCAGGTCCTGCCGGGGAGCAGGTGGGGCATGGTGACTGCAGGGGTGCGGAGCCTTGAGAAAAGGTCCACTGGGCAGACTTCAAGCAGGGACAGGGTGGTCCTGGGGTGAGGGTGGTGCAGCCTGGCTGAGTGCCAGCCTCAGTTGACTTATCCAAAGGCAGCAGGGGCTGGAACCTTGGCCTTTTGAAGCCCAGTGCTTTTCCCAATACCCCACTCCACGATGCCTCTGCCCATAAGAAGGCAGAGGAAGGCACAGGGGCAGGCCTGTGGAATGCATTGTGGGCACCACTTTCCTGCGCTGGGTGGACTGCTGAGTGCGGGGACCAAGCCTCCGAGCAGGGAGGGGAGAGCGGGACAGCCCCTGCAGCAGTAGGGGCAGGGGCGAAAGTGGTTACAAGGCTTCAGATAAAGCGCTCCCCCAGTCCTTGGGCAGCCTGGCTTCTGTCGGCAGGACAGAGTCTGCTCCAGAAAGGCCTCTGGGCCCCTCGGCAGGTGTCAGCCTGGCTCCCCCTTTGAATAGAACCTTCCAAGGCTGTAGGCTTGCCTCCTGCCTCTCAGCCAGGACCTGTCTCAGTCATCTGAAACTACCCCTACCAAGCCGGATGCTCCCTTTGCCTTCGTGCTGTTCCTGCCCTCTCTTCCTCCCACTTCCTATTTTCTCTCCATTTTGTTCAAATGCCATGAACAAGAACAAGAGAGCTCAGACAGCCAAAGCCTCCCACCCCAGCTGTATGCAAATTCTCAGTGGGCTGAAGGGACCACCCACCCACTCAAGACCACCTCCCAGGAGGCAGAGGTCCTGTGCGGAGCCCCAGAGGAGCTTGAGCTGAACAGAGAATGGGTGGGTGTGGGTGGGGTGGGCCCCACCACTTTTCCTCCCTTCTCCTTCCTGTCCTTTCCCTGAAGAGTCTCCGGGGCCCACTCTTCCCCCCAGCGGAGATGGATGTGTCACATTTATGGCGTCCCATTTCCTTCACAGAGATGCTATAGATCCTGTTTCATTCTGTTGTTTGTATTTAATTCACTCCATAGGAATCAATAAAACTTTAAATAAAAAAAGGCAAAATCCAATTGCTGCTCATTTTCTTGATCCACCTGGCAGTCGGCATGTCACCTACATTCTCATGTGTTCTGGTGAGCTGGGGGTGGGAGGGGGAGCTTATCATTGCACAGTGAGAAGCTGTCTTTCCTTTCCCATCATTAGAGGTGGGGGCTTCAGCCTTCAAGTGCTCAGCTCTGCAGGAGGCTGTGCCTGGCCGCCCTCCCCTGCAGCAGTCCTGGCTGGACTAGCCTGGCCTCCCCATGTGCTCTCCCTTGGGACCAGCTTTTTCTTACCTTTCCAGAGCAAAGCCGCCATGCCAAGAGGGGCCCTACGCCCGTGATGAGCTCTGGCTTGGGTTCTCAGCCCACCGTGTATGTACCAGACCCACTCACAACAGTCTCTCCCTTGCCAGGCATTGCACCCACCTGATTCCCTCCAGCCTCCGTGCCTCGGCCCTATCTCTGCTCACTGAGGCTCTGGGAATCAGCTCGGGCACTCAGTGCGAAGCCCAGCTGGGCATTGGAAGGCGACAGGAGGGCCCTGGACCAGGCTGGCTCTGGCTAGCCCCACCATTCTGCTTTAGGGCTGATGCTGACCACTCCCCACCCACCTTCTCCGAGGGCTACTTACGGCGTGCGCGTGGTCTGAGTGGGTCTGGAGGAGTCTCTCTCTGCTTGTCTTCTGGCGCCGGGGCTGGTCTGACGGGCTCTTATATACCTCGCAACCCTGGGAGCTAGCCTTGGAGCCCATTAACCTTTGACCACAGCTTTGGGGGCCCTCGGTGGGGGAGCCTGGATTCTTGAAGCTCGTGGAAACCCCAGGCAGGGCCAGCCATGCTAAGGGTTTCCAGGGCTTTCCTGGAAGAAACAGCGGCAGCCGGAGTTCAGTGGAAGCTGGCCCACACCCAGGTGGCATTCTCCCGTCCACTGACAACTCAGCTGTCTCTCAGAGGTCATTTTAACAAAAGCCTTTTGTTTTTTTGTGCCTTAAATATATGACATTGGTGAGCGTCTGCAGGCCAACGCTCTAGTGATCAGATTTTCTGCTGTCTTGTCAGAACTCTATATTAGAAAGATAACTTCTCTTCAGTCTTCCCCCTGAAGCCCCTCGTGAAAGAAAGTGTTCAGGAGTTTGTGACAACATTTCAGTGGATTAATGAAAAGAAAACGACTGTGTCCAAACCCAGGGCTGTGTGGGGCCAGACGCCACGGGAGAGCCGAGGAAATGCATAGGGGTGATGGTGTGGAAGTTCAGGACGCTGCAGCCTAAACGGGGAGATGGACACCCACTGGGCAATGTTTCATGGGAATCATGCAATTCCAACAGTACGTATAAAGCTTCAAAGCGGGAAGAGGGAAGAGGTGACTATGATCTGGGGTCAGACCTGGCTTGCTGCTGCTGGGGCTGGCCAGGGCCGTTTCTGGAGTGCAACATTACTCAGAAAATGCTTGACACGAGCGTTCTGTTTAAATGCAGCAACCCCGTGAGGTGGGTGTGTTTATTTCCCCCATTAAGCAGATAAGGAAACCGAGGCACTGTTAGATAGCTCATCTGTGACTCCCCTGCAAGCCTTCTTCATACAAGGGGCAAGGCCAGACGTGGCCAGGTGCAGCAGAGGGCAGGAGTGAGGGCCTCTGGGGATCTGGGGCATGCACAGGCTTAGAATGGAGCGGTATTGTCACAGGAGGTCCCCTGTGTGGGCTGGGAGCCGCTCAGTCAGGTCTGAGTGTGAGGGCCCTTAGCAACCAAGCAGAAGGATTTAGATTTGATGGAGGGAATAGAGTATTGGGGTCCTCATGCTACTGTGAATGGAGTATTGGGGGACCTCATGATACTGTGAATGGAGTATCGGGAGTCCTCATGATACCTTGACAATATAACTCTGGAAGACCTCTACTTTTCCGGGTACCTGGGTACCAGAGGCAGAGGTGGGGTACAGTCTTGGTGTGGAATCCCGAGGGTCTGGGTGGGCAGTGGCCATTTTCCCAGGAGACCTACACTGGCCAGTAGCGCCTTGCAGAAAGGCTGCTCCACACATCCAGAGGGGCACTGCTTCTTGTCCAGGAGCCCCTGCGCAGCTGGTCCTTGGGTCTGCTCTGGCTCTTCCATTCAGAAGTAAATGTTTGCAGTGCTTTATACTTGACACAGATAACTTCTACCTTCCCCGCTCAGTGAGGGTTAATGAAAACAGATGGCAGCTGGTGTCCTGACCTCCTCGCTTCCCGCCAGCAGGGCCTCTGTGTGCAGTAGTCCACTCTGCACCCACAGTTAGAACTCAGCACATTGGACTAGCGGCTGTTGTGAGATGCACAGTGTGGCTCTGAAGTCTGAGACTTATTTCAGGAATGAGAGCTCCAAATGCTGGAATTTGCAGCGGAGTTGCCAGCCCTTAACCTCGGGCCTTGTTGGAGTCTTACTGTCCCTGTTTCAAGAGGGGCTTTTAGGAAGAGGTCACTGGGCCAGGTGAGGCAGCCGACACCTGTAATCCCAGCATTTGGAGGCTGAGGCAGGAGGATTGCTTGAAGCCCAGGAGTTCAAGACCAATTTGGGAAACATAGCAAGACCTCATCTCTAAAAGAAATAAAAACAATTAGCTAGATACGGTGGCGTGCACTGTGGTCTCAGCTACTCGGCAGGCTGACGTGGGAGGATCATTTGAGCCTGGGAGGTGAAAGATAGAGTGAGCCGCGATTATCCCACTGCTCTCCAGCGTGGGCAACAGAGTGAGACCCTGTCTCTTAACAAAACAAAACAAAACCAAAAGACAAAGTCACAGACCTTGGTGGGGGCAGAGTAGTCCCTTGAGGATCTGGAAGTAACCTGTCAGCTTCTCAGGCTCGGGGATGCCCTGGGGGGCTCCGTCCATAAGCATGGGCTGCTGTGGTGATGTCACACCTGCCTCTCTAGCATCTAGACCTGGATAGGCAGAATAAAGCTCACAGTCCAAACCAGCCTGCCACTCATTTTTTGTTTTTTTCTTTAAAGCCTGTGAGCTAAAAACAGTTTTCACATTTTAAATTTATTTTTATTAATTTTTTTTTGAGACAGAGTTTTGCTCTTGTTACCCAGGCTGGAGTGCAATGGCGCTATCTGAGCTCACCGCAACCTCCACCTCCCGGGTCCAAGCAATTCTCCTGCCTCAGCCTCTCAAGTAGCTGGGATTATAGGCATGCGCCACTAGGCCCAGCTAATTTTGTATTTTTAGTAGAGACGAGGTTTCTCCATGTTGGTCAGGCTGGTCTTGAACTCCCAACCTCAGGTGATCTGCCCACCTCCACCTCCCAAAGTGCTGGGATTACAGGCATGAGCCACCATGCCCAGCACATTTTTTAATAATCAAAATATCAAAAGAATGGTATTTAGTAACGTGAATTTAATTTCCATGCTCATAAATACAGTTTTATGGGAACAGAGCCATTATTCATTTATGTGTTACCTATGGCTGCTTTTGGGCTGTAACAGCAGAGTTGAAGTAGCCATGGCAGGGACCTACAGCTCACAAAGCTGAACATATTTATTATATGGACCTTTATAGAAAGTGTTTGCTGGTGCCTGACCTCGACAGTGTCTGGAGCATGTGATAAATAACAGCCAGATGTTACACGTATCTGCTTTTTTAAACCTCATACAGCCCTGAGGTTGGTGTGGTTATTATCCCAAACCACATGTGGGGAAACTGAGGTGGAACAACGGACCCGAGGTCACACAGCTATTCAAATAGCCAGGCCAGGATTCAAATGCAGGGAGTATGGCTTCAGAATCGAGCTTGGTTTTGTTTTTATTTTTGTTATCTATTGATTTTTTTAAGTTGCTGTGCTCTTCTGCCCCTCATTGTTTGGTGAGTACACATAAGGATGTTTATAGTCAGGGAAGACAGAAAACAGTGGCCTGGTGCAGTTCTGCAGACCTGCCAGCCTCTCCTCCAGCTGTCCCCACGAGGCCTCTGAGCACGGTGCAGTCCGAGCTGACCATTGCGCTTGTCTGTTCTTGGGTTTGGAGAGGCCAGGCCTGGGCTGGGAGGAGGACTGCAGATGGCAGAGCAGGCCTATCCACTGAACACAAGGAGACATCTGAGGCCACTTCCCCAGGGCCCCTCCACGGTAGGGCTCTGAGATCCGTGCCCTGACTCTGCTGGGCCAGTCTGGGCTCTGGTCCAGAGACGCCTCTAAGACATTCTGTCTGAGAAATGATTAGGAGCCTCCAAGCCCGAGACAGGCCTGTAGTGAGAGATGGGGAGAAGGGAAGTGCTGGGGACAGTAAATAACCCGGGATCAATTTTCTGGGTGTGAATAGCACTAACCTGGATCTCTCCCATGATTCAGTGTTTCTGACCCAAGTAATTTGCAGTATTACAGTGTGACATCTGCGGTTTGGTGTGGAAGGCAAACCAGGTTTCACGATGAGCTACGCCTGCTGATGCACAAGGGGAATGTAGACTCACGGGGGCTCCGGGGCTCCTTTGGGGTCTCAAGCTGCTAGGAGGCAGTGGCCTTCCCACATACTCCTCTGGGCTGCAGACCATGTGGGCCAGCCCTTTGGGAACTGTCTGGCCCGGAATACGACTTCTCTCCCCTTTGTGCGTTGGTCCTCCCTGGGCATTTTCCACTGCCGCGGTTAGTGCTTTGGAAATGGAGCTGGATGGATAACAAGCCTAATAAGCACGACTTTGTCTTTACCATGTACCTTGGCTCTCCCTATAAATGCTCAATTAGTGGCTGTTTCTCTCCTGCTAGAAACTGGACAAAAATAAAAGGAAGGCGTGATCTGATGTTCTTCATTTTCCAAGTGGGAATTGCCACGGATATGCAGCAACTCAGGCAGAGGGGAGGCGTAGAAACCTAACCCACGTCTGGGAAAGGAGTTGACAAAACTCAGAGGAAATGGCTCAAACCACATGTGAGCGCTTGATTGCCTTTTTCTCCCACAGCGGGCAGAGGTATTAGCAGTTTAGCTCTCCTCTCCTCGTGACCTTGAAAATATTGTTTGCCGGGTACTGCCGTAACATCTTCATTAATGGTCTGGAACAGGGAGGCAACGGCATGTTAATTAAATTTGCAGATGATACTAAATTGGGAGATGTAGCAAACATCAGGGAGGACAGGGATCTAATACCAGAAGACGTCGGGAGCTAGAACTGCGTGCTGGAAATGGCCCAGTGGGCTGCTGGACACATGTCCCCAAGGCCCTGAGGACACAGGATGGAGGATATGGGTGAGAGGGAGGGACCAGCCAAGAAGAAAAGGTGCTCCTGGGGGTTCCTGGAGGCTGTGGGGGCACGGCAGCTTGAACAGTGCCTTGTTCTCCAGGTGGGTTCCTCAGAGAGCCAGAGGACAGTGGCCAGACCAAGGCAGAGTTCAGAGGAGCCGACACAGCCTGAGGATTGCAGCAGTGCCAAAGCTGAAGGAATAATAATGAAAAATGAAAGGTTTCAAAAGGTTGGCTTGCCCAGAACGCTGGTAAGAATTAAATGTGCATCGTTCATGTTAAGCAAAGGCCAAGGCGAGGCAAAGAACCCAGGTATGGGAGGGAGCGCAGGAGGAGAGAGAGTTGCTGCCAAGCCTGCGCATCTAAAGTCCTGGATGCCCCTTACAGAGCCAGAAGTGTGCGACTGGACTCACGAGCAAAAATACGAGTGGACGGTGACGATGTTTAAAACTGGGCCAAGCAAAACAGTGAGAGATGAATTTTGGGCAACAACTGTGCCCTGGCCCAGGGGACTCGGGCCTTGGTGACCTGCG